TTAAGAAACAATCCCTGATGTGTTCTACAAATCTGTCATCCATGGTACCCTTACTCTTCGATTTTTCCAATCAATATGGAGATTAAAATCTCCCATGATCATTGTAGTGTACTTCTTACATGTCTCCATTTTTTCTTGATTTGTACTTTATCCCACTGTGAGGCAGCTCTTCAGGGACTTATAGATGACCCCAACCTATGACTTCTTTCCCCTGCTGTTCTTTTTTCTACCAAACTGATTCCAAATATCTATTGCACATATATTGTTGCTCACCATTGCACCAACAATTTCCTTTATTAACAATGCTACCCCACCTCCTTGTCCTTTATGTTTATTTTTCCTGAAATTTAATACCCTTCAATATTGAGTTCCTAGTCTTGGTCACCCTGCAACCATGTCTCCATAATAGCCATCAAATCATATTCATTTATTTCTATTTGTGCCATCAACTTACCTATCTTGCTACAAATGCTGCATGCATTCAGATAACAAGCCTTAAGCATTCACTTTTCACACCCATTAATACTTATTCAAGGCCTAATTTCTGCTACACTCTGCCCCTTTCTTTGATTACATTGATTATTGTTTATTTCTTCATTGCCCTGCATCTTTGCTCTCTCATTTATTTTCAAGGTTTTTAACTTTTCTTCAATTCATTTAATGCCCTATCTACAACGCTGGTTATATGATTCACTAGGATACTGGCACCAGCTTGGTTCAAATCAAGCCCGTCCCAAAGGAACAGCTCTCTCTTTCCCCAGTACTGGTGCCTGTGTTCCATGAATCAGAACCCATTTCTCCCACAGCAACCTTTCAGTCACGCATTTACCTCTTCAATCTTACTTGTTTGAGGTCAATTTGCACACAGCTCAGGTTGTTGTCCTAAGATTAGTACCTTTGCACTTTTGCTTTTGAGTTTAGCCCCAAGCTGCTTGTAATCACTCAGCAGAACCTCTTTCCCAGTCCTACCTATGTCATTGTTACCTACATGGATCTGGGCAACTGGATCCTTCCCCTCTCACTCAAAGTTCCTCTCCAGCCCAGAAAAGATGCCCTTCACTTTAGCATCAGGTAGGCACCTCAGCCTTTAGAACTCTCTATCCTTGCTGAAGACAACAGATTCTATTCCCCTAACCATGCGATCCCCTGTTACATTTCTCTTTTCCGGCCCCACTTAAATGGCAATCTGTACCAGAGTGCCATGGTCAGTTTGCTCATCCTTTCTGCAGTCTGTGCCTTTGCCTGTAAGAGGAGCGAGCATTTTGACGCTATTGGACAAGAGTATTCACTGAGGATCCTCCAAAACTAAATTCTAGATCCCAATACCTGCCTAACTTGCAGTCACACCCACCTGAACCCGACCACTGACTAAATTTGATGAATTAATCTAAGATGTGTGACTATTTCCTGAGACAAAGTGACCCCTCTCTGATGTGTTGCATGTTCACAGCTTAGACTCCAGCTCATCAACTTTTAACTGTGATTCCTTGTACAGTCAATACTTGCTGCAAAATGTGACACAATCAATTGCCCATTTCCCACATACTACTGCCACAATACATCATCTGCCCAGCCATATTCATTCCACTGAACTAATCATTTTGGATGTTAAATATTTTAAAAGTAAAATTCCAAAGGTATGATGTCTCCTGTTTAAAATTACTTAGCTGATGGAAGTGATACCTACTAATCACCTTCCTGTTTTCATGTGAGATCACACTGACTAAAGGGAAAAAGCAGGTTTAATGGGCTCACGGCTGCTGCCATTTTTATCTCCTACCACCTGCTTTTTTATACAGATCTGTTTTCCTGGTCTGCTCACTTTCTGAACACTCCTCCTGGTCTCTTTCACAGTGATGCTGACCTGCCGCACACTCCTCCCGGTCTGCTTCGCAGTGATACTGACCCACAGCACACTCCTCCTGGTCTGCTTCTCAATGATACTGACCCACTGCACCCTCCTTCCAATCTGCTTCACAGTGATGCAGACCAAAGAGCACCTTTCACTGAGTTGATGGTCCTCCAAGTGTAGTCATAGAATCATGAGATATACAGCACAGAAATAGACCCTTCAGTCCAACTCATCCATGCCGACCAGATATCCTAAATAAATCTAGTTTCATTTGCCATCATTGGGCCCATATCCCTCTAAATCCTTCTTATTCATGTACCAGTAAATGTTATATTGTACCAGCCTCCATCACTTCCTCCGGTAGCTTATTCCATGCACGCACCACCCTCTGTGTGAAAAGTTGCCCCTTAGGTCCATTTTAAATCTTTCCCCTCTCACCTTAAACCTATGCCATCCAGTTTTGGACTTGCCCACCTTGGGGAAAAGTCCTTATCTGCCCCTCATGATTTTATAAACATCTATAAAGGTCACTCCTCAGCCGCCGATGCTCCAGGGAAAATAACCCAGTCTATTCAGCCTCTCCCTATAGCTCAAACCTCCAACCCCGGCAACATCCTTGTAAATCTTTTCTGGACCCTTTCAAGATTCATCACATCCTTCCTATAGCAGGGAGACCAGAATTGCATGCAGTATCCCAATATTGGCCTAACCAATGTCCTGTCCAGCCACAACATGACCTCCTAATTCCTTTACTCAATGCACTGACCAATAAAGGCAAGCACACCAAATGCCTTCTTCACTATCCTATCTACCTGCGACTCCACTTTCAAGGAACTATGAACCTGCAGTCCAAGGTTTCTTTGTTCAGCAACACTCCCCAGGACTTTACCGTTAAGTGTATAAGTCCTGCTGTGATTTGCCTTTCCAAAATGCAGAATCTCACATTTATTGAAATTAAACACCATCTGCCACTCCTCGGCCCATTAGCCCATCTGATCAAGGTCCTGTTGCACTCTGAGGTAACCTTCTTCACTGTCCACTACACCTCTAATTTTGGTGTCATCTGCGAACTTACTTACCATACCTTCTATGTTCACATCCAAATCATTTATATAAATGATGAAAAGCAGTGGACCCAGCATCGATCCTTGTGGCACACCGCTGGTCACAGGCTTCCAGTCCGATAAAGAACCCTTTACCACCACCCTCTGTCTTCTATCTTCGAGCCAGTTCTGTATCCAAATAGCTAGTTCTCCCTCTATTCCATGTTATCTAACCTTGCTAACCAGTCTACCATGAGGAACATGTTGAATGCCTTGCTAAGTCCATACAGATCATATCCATCGCTCTACCCTCATCAATCCTCTTTCAGTCAATGTTTACCTTGATGTGTGTCTGGGGAACAGACAATACAGCATAGTGATCTGTGTCACGGAACTGCTCGGGACGAACCTCGACAAAAACCATTTCATCTTTCTCCAGACTTCCTTTGCAAAGGCACATTCCAGCAGGGGTGTGACAGTCTCTACAACCATGAAGCTGCTTCAACAGCAGTGTATGGTAGCACAGACCCACTGGGCATAGGTAGTGCCCTTCTCACCACCAGCCAAGCAATGCCTTGGAGCTTGTTGGAAAGTTCTGGTGATGAGGCATTCTGCCAAATGACTTTGACAGTCTGCTTGGGGAACAACTTGGCAGGGTCAACCCTCTCCCTTTCCCGCAGAGTCTCGAGGACACTACATGTTGACAATTTCCTGATGGACTTGTGGTCAAAGGTGCTTTTCGTTGCAAATTTCTCCATGAAGGACAGGTGTTATAGAATGGTCTAGTTACTTGGGAGTGTTCCACGCAACAAGGCCAGCCCCATCCTTCGCAACCCTAGGGAGAGGTAGAACCTCAGTAGGTAGTGACACTTGATGTTTGCGTACTTAGGGTCTACGCACAGCTCGATGCAGCCGCACACAAAGCTAGCCATCAGGATGAGGATGGCATTGGGTACGTTCTTCCTCCTCTTATCTAGTGTTTTGTACATGGAGTCCCTGCAGATACGGTCCATGTTAGACCTCCAGATGAAGTGGAAGATGGCTTGGGTGACTGCAACAATGCAGGTTTGGGGAATGGACCAGACCTGTGCCACGTACAACAACAGAGAGAGTCCCTCACACTAGGTTTTAACTTGCAATGGGGTGGGAGCAGTGCTTCCAAAAGCCCAGTTTTTGCCTTACCTCGGTGATGCACCCTACCCAAGATTTTGCACACACCCCAGCTCCTCTAAGCCATATTCCCAGCACCTTCAGGTAATCTGTCCTGACGGTGAAGGGGATAAAGGATCAGTTGGCCCAGTTCCCAAAGAATGTGGCCTTGCTGTTGCCTCAATTTACCTTGGCTCCCCAGGTTAGTTTGAACTGGTGACAGATGCTCATGAGCCTGTGCACTGACGGTGGACCTGAGCAGAAAACAGTGACATCATCCATGTTCAGGAGGGTTTTGACCTGCAGGCCTCCACTGCCTGGAACAGTCACCCCTCTCAGGTTCGCATCCTTCCTGATGGACTCAGCAAAAAGCTCTACACAACACACAAACAAGGCAGGAGAGAGTGGGCAGCCCTGACTGACTCCAGATCCGATCGGGGAGCTTTCTGATTCCCACCCATTGGGTGAAGCTGCATGATTGATGTAGGCGTAGAGCCGTCAGGTCCAAATGTGGATTCCCTTTCCAAAGCCCATTCTGGAGAGCAAGTAGGTGTGCGATATCCTGTCCTCATGGAAACATGCTACCTGCTTGGCCTGGTATGTGCCAGTAGCTGAATGGGTCTGTGCTTTACTGAACTGCACTCGATCGTGTCACTCTTAATTGGATCGTACTGTGCCATTCTTAACCTGTTGGATACCAGCATTGGCAATCCATTAAGAAAGAAAAGTTCGACTAAAGCAAACAAATTACAATCTCTTATTTGCAAAGCAGCCATTCGATGCATCTTAAAATACCCTTTCACCCTTGGTGGAGGTATAATGTGAGGAAGTTGCTGCGTCCGAACGTATTCAAGCGATTTACGTTGATGTGTTCGTCAGTGCAGTTCTATTGGTTTGTGTGAGCAGTGGGAGGATGCTCGCCCACAGCACTGTGTATATGAGGAGGAGAGAGCAGCCGGAGCCCAGGCACAAAGAAACGCCAAGAGGCTTGGAGTAGAGCCGTGTGTAGGGCGGAACGGCGCCGGTTTGTGAGTTGCTGATCGTATCAAATAGGTCAGAGAAGAGCTACAGTCTCGTTAGATCTGCAATTCCATCGAGTCGGAGGTAACACTGCAAAGGGACCCATGCGTTTTTATAATATGTCGACGAACTTACTGTTGGTTCCAATCCCGGAGTCATGCGACAACGCGATGAACAGAGACATCAAGATCGCAGTTTTAGGGTCAAGCACTGTTGGGAAAACAGGTAAGATGTGTTTATGTTGGGAAAAGTTGAGACGCTTACAGAAATGTCCGTCAATAATTTACTTTTGAAAAGAACAGTATTCGTATTTAACCAAATCTTACAAGACAAATATTGTCGCTGCTGATGGATTTGGTTGACGATTAAATCCAGCAACAGCATCGAAACTATATTTTTCTGTATTGAATAAACATGAAGTACCCGTTTTCATAATTTGTGTTCATTCATGTTGGGTTAAAACTCAATTATCACTAAGTCTCCAGACTGAGGACCAAGTCTTTTGACTCTGAAATTTAGGATTAAATTTGCCCCAAATAGATGGAACAGGATTCTTCCTGCTGCCCAATAAAAAAAACCTGCCGGCATTGTGGCCAAGTGCGGGGGCATTGAGTGGTCAAACGTGTCTCCCAGCGGACGTTGTCCCACTTTTACATTTGAAATCTGCTAATTGTTTTCTGGAGGATTGTTGAGTCCGTGGAATAGATATTTTTAAGGCGGACTCTGGGATTTGCTGCCAGAAGAGAATAAGGATTTACACTTCCGGATGTGTTGGACTGTTAACAGCTGTTTTTTGGGAGCCGGTGGTAACAATAGAAATTTGTGTTTGCGTAGCGCCGTTCATGTAATAATAAAACGTTCTAAAGCGTTGTACCAGCAAAGCAGACAAAACCTGACACCAAAACCACGCACTGAAACAGTAAGACAGGTGGACAAAGGCGAGGAAAGTTTCACTATGAAATAATGCATTTCACAAACTCTTCGCAGCCACTGATGTACTCCTGAAGTGCGGTCACTGTAGTAATGTTGGAAATTGTGACTGTCAATTAGCAATGAGTTAATGATCAAATTTTTTTTGTGTGAGCCTGATTGGCCAATACATTGGCAAGCACTTCCTACAATCAGATAAAGGTGCCTTTCTGCTTTGGAAGGTATTGTGTTCAGTTCCAACACAGAGCCTGGAAATTGTTGGCAGGTTGTTTTTAGAAGGACTGTGAAAGCCTTTACCTCATTGTACTTGGGCTTTGTTCCAATTTTTATAAACCACATAGTTCACCCACTGGTCAGAAATTGGTTTTCTTTTCAAAAGATGTACAATCATTATGATTGCGTGTGCACAAGTGTACAATCAGCAGAAACATAAACAGAAATTGCTGGAAAGGCTCAGCAGGTCTGGCACTATCTATGGAGAGAAATCAGTTCACGTTTTGGGTCGAGTGACCCTTCGTCAGAACTGTACAATGAGCGTATTCTTCGGTAAAACTGGGAATTTTTCAATTAGGCTGCAAGGTAATTGGGAGCTCCCAAAGATTCAAGCCACTGCATGGGAATTTGAAAAGCTTGTGATCATTTAATTTTACACAGCCTTTGGGATTTGTACACATATCATAATTTAGCTCTGAGCCACATTAAAGTCCATCTGGAATTACACAATTTGGATTTTTTTTGTATTCAAAAGGTATTTTCATTTTGACATAATTGGTGTGCAAATTCAATCCTCAATGTGTTGTATTCAATAGTATGACCAAACAGCTGAGTGGATGACTTGTACAGAAGATGTTTTCTTAGTTGTTTGTGCAAAGCAGCTCAAGGTATCAATATTATAATTGGTAGATTCTGTTTCAAAGACAACAGAACCACTGTAGAAAATGATAATACATGGTGGAAAACGAGCAAGAGTGCTTTTCTAAAGTTATGGCTGAGTTACATCGCAAGAGTTATGCAGAGGGAAGTCTTAATGCCAAAATGGATCCGTTTTGTTTTTAGTAAGTTTCTTTTAAAATTCTTTCAGGGGATGTGGGCTTCATTGGTTGGGCAGCATTTATTGCCCTCCCCAGTTTCCCTTGAAGGTAGTGGTGAGCAGCCTTCTTAACTATTGCAGTCCATTTGATGTAGGTTCCCCACATCACTGCTAAGAAAGGAGTTCCAGGATTTTGTCCCAACACAGTGAAGAAATGGTGATATATCTCCCAACCAGCTTGGTGTGTGGTTTGGAGGGAAACATGCAAAAGATGGTGTTCCCATTTTTCTGCTGCCCTTGGCATTCTCAATGGTAGTGCTCGTGGGTTTGGAAGGTGCTGTCTGGGTATACTTGGTGAATTTCTATAGTGAATTCTATAGACAATGCACACTGCTGCTACTGAGCATCAGTATTGGAGGGAGTGAATGTCTGGAAGTAGTTCCAGTGAAGTGGGCTGCTTTGTTCTTGATGATATCAAGCTTCTTGAGTGTTATTGGAGCTGCACTCATGAGGCAAGTGGGGAATATTCCAACACACTCCTGACTGGTGCCTTGTAGGTGGTGGACAATCTTTGGGGAGTCACATAGTAAGTTACTTGCTGCAGCATTCCTAGAATCTGACCCACTTTTGTAGCCACAGTATTTACATGGCTAGTCCAGTTCAGTATCTGGTCAATGGTAATTCCCCAGGATGTTGATAGGGGATGCACTGGATGAGTGCAGCCAAGAAGCTTGACACCATTCAGGACAAAGCAGCTTGCTTCATTGGTCCTACATTAATTTACTTCACACTGATGCACAGCAGCAGAATTATCTACAAGATGCACTGCAGAAATTCATCAAGACTTCATTGACAGCACTTTCCAAACCCACAACCACTACCATCTAAAAGGACAAGGACAGCAGATGCATTAGAACACCATCACCTGCACATTTCCCTCCAAGCCACTCATCCTGATTTGGAAATATGTTGTGGTTCCTTCAGTGTCACTGAGTCACAATCCTGGAGCTCCCTCACTAACAGTACAATGAGTCTTCCTATCTCAAATGGACTGCAGTTTTTCAAGAAGGCAGCACATTAAAGAACAATTAGCGATGGGCAATAAATGCTGGCCCTGTGATTGAAGCCTGCATCCCTTGATTGAATGAATGAACTTTTTAAAAATGTCAATTGCACTCAGAGTGTAAATTAAATGAAAGAAAACATTTCCCACTACAGCTTGGCCTTTGCTTATCTTGAGGTGCTCCAACATTTAAAAAAGGCATTCTTCAAAAAGCTTGAAATGAATTTGAAAACATGCGCAAGTTAAATAATCAAAGTAGTTGTCAATTTCAATAAATACATCTATTTTGCACACAGTGTGACTAGAATTCTTTTTTTTGACAAAGTTGAGAAAAATAGTTGAGCTTTGAATAATTGTAGTAGGAGAAGATTTGACAATAACCCAGTCTTCACCTTGCCAGTTGAATCTGTGTACACAAATGTACGTTGTGTACAAGTAAGACTAGTCGATGGATATGCAGATTAGTTCTTAAATTCATTCTTGATATTTTTGTTAATGGATTTTTTTGCCCTGAGTTTAAAATACATATGCAGTTAGCTGAAATTAAATGTTTGCTGTTTGTGCTATATTGAATAAATCAATTACAAGGTTTTAAAAATAACAGCATATTTTTGCATTTTCTCAAATCTGCATACGTATTGTTTTCTGTTTAATGGTACAGATACTGCAATAAAAAAGGCTCTATTATTTGGGAGTGAATAGTCGTTCATGAGTTTGTTTTCCTTCAGTTTCCTGACTGATAGGATAGAAACAATATGATATACAGGAGTAGAAGAAATCATTGTTTTTCCTGATCAATCCTAAAGATAAATATTTCCCTGATTAACAATTAAAAAGAATAATTGATTTCTTTTATATTTAATGCAACTTCTGACTTCTTTTAATAGCCAAAAGTAATTTGTTTCATTGAAAAATAATCCACTGTGTTTTGATACATTTCAACTGAAAATGGCATATCTTTAGATTTCACAAACTTGCAAAGCTATGTTACAGTAACTTCCTGTTTAGACAAAAGTCAGATACCATCAACAACAAAGATCATGTAAACTAACCCGGTGATCTCCAACTCCGATACAGCAATTCAGAGCTGAACTCTTTCACATAGCTTGATGTAATTATAACTGCAAGAGCTCTTTAGATTTAGTTGTACTTACAAATAGCTATGTGTATCTTTTACATTTTAAATAAGATTCTCCTATACAACAGTGATCCTAGTCTCAATCTTCCTGAAAGAAATAAAGAATTGAAAGAGCACTGCGATTAAAATAGTTCACTTGGTGTTAAATTTAAATATTTGAGGGCCCTCTACTACTTCTGCACAACTACACCAAATGAGTAAAATGCAAATATATAGAAACAAGCACAGTGAAGGATGCCTATAGAATCTTTTCCCATGCATTAATAATAAAGGAAATCACATCGTATTATGCTACACTCAAATAATATCACAGCTACTGGCAGTTTATTTGCATTATGGTGGATTATTAGATTGCAATCCCTGGGACAGACCAAGTAGATTTGGCATCTGGCTTTTTATCTTCAAGCCAGTTAGTTTAACATCTGTCAAAGAGAAGATGTTAGAAGCTTTTAAATTCAAAGTGATCTGAAAGTGATCTTCATGGATCTGTGAGGGAAATCCTGTTTAAGTAATTTGTTGGAGTTCTTTTGAGGAAGGAATATGTGCTGTGAATAAAGGGGATCTGGTGGATGAACTGTACTTGGATTTTCAGAAGGCACTTGATAAAATTCAACTTCAAAGACTATTCTGGAAAATAAAAGTCCATGATATAGTGGGTAATGTACTGTCATGGTTAGAAAATTGGCTAGCTAACAGTAAACGACAAGGAAGCATAAATGTAGCATTTTCTGGTTGGCAAGGTGTGAGAAGTGATGTGCCACAGGGATCAGTGCTGGAATCTCAACTTTCTTACAATTTATATAAATGACAAGGATAAGGGGCTAAAGATTTGGTTGCTAAATTTGGTGAAGACACAAAGATATCAGGGAAAATAAATTGATAGGAGGATATAAGGAAGATAAAGGAATAAAGGGTTAAGTGAGTGGCTAATTGAGTATAATGTGGGACAAAGTAAAATGTTCTATTTTGGCAAGAAGTATAAAATAGAAGCATGTTACCTAAACAGTGAGAAGTTGCAGAACTCTGAGATGCATAGGAAACTGTGTGTCCTAGTGTACAAATTGTAAAATATTAGTATGCAGGTACATCAAGTTATTAGGAAGATTAGCAGAATATTTTCAATTGTGAGGGGAATTGAAGACAAAAGCAGAGAGGTTATGCTTCAGTTATATAGAGGATTGTTGAGACCACATCTGGAGTGCTGTGTACAGTATTTAAAGGAAAGATGTAAATGCATTGTAAGCAGTTCAAGGAATGTTTATTAGATGAATGCCTCAAATGAGTGGGTTGTCTTGAGGAAACGTTGGACAGCCTAGGCTCATATCCACTGGATTTTAGTAGAGTAAGAGGTGACTTGATTGAAACCTATAAAATCCAGACTGTCTTGATAGGGAGCATGTGAAATGATCTAGAAATAGAGGAACACTGTTTAGAAATAAGTGGTTGCCCATTTAAGACAGAAGTGAGTAGAAATCTTTCCTAACAGAGGATCATAAGCTTTGGAACTGTCTTTCTCAAAGGGTGTTGGATCACAGTCCTTGAATATTTTTTAAAGCAGGGATAGATAGGTTCTTGAAAAACAAGTCGCTGAAAGGTTATCATAAGTTGGTAGGACCTTGGAGTAATCTGTTCAGACATGATCTTATTTGGTGGCAGAGCAGGTTGGAGGGACTGAATGGCCTAATTCCTCCTAGTAACTGATTTATTTTAATTTTCGTTTGTTAGTTTTCCCCCATTGTAGCGCCATCAACCTGCATTAATGGAATTTTCCAGCAGTAACACAGAATCACAAAAACAGCCCTAGTGAATGTGACAAGTTTCTTTTAGGATTACACCTGATTGGAACTACTGTGCCAGAAAACTAATATTGAAGCTGCTTTTGTTTCAAAGGAGAGGATAGATATAGAGCTGCTGAATTCACCTTTTTTTTGTATTATCTGGATACTGAAGCAGGTGTATCTCCGGTGCTTACAATGAACATTATAAATTCTCAATTTCTCAAATGCATATGAAAGAGCAACTGCAAAAGCAGTGACAATGAAATATTAATAAATTTGTTTTTGTTTATTTCTAGCATTGATTGTCCGGTTTTTAACAAAGAGGTTTATTGGGGACTATGAATCAAATACAGGTATGTATTTCTTAAAATAATCAACCAAAATTGATCATTAAAGATTAATAAATACTTTCTAACAAACCATTGTTTTTATTTCAAAGGAAATCTTTATTCAAGACTGGTTCATATTGAAGGCGAACAGCTTTCACTGCAAGTGCAAGACACACCTTGTGTTCAGGTATGGCATATGTGACACTATCACATTTTTGGGAAATGAAAGGAAAACTTACGATGATATGAAATCAAACGAAATAAAGGAAAACCCTGATGGCAATAAAGAGTAAAACTCCCTGAAGCCAAATTCAGAGTTTGCAGTTTATTTGAATAATAACTAGCTAAAAAGCTAATTCAATCAAAATTCTTAGTTTTGATTTGTAGCTTATTTGAACAATATCATAATATTAATCAAGTTATGCAATTCACTTATAGAAAAATATGGATCAGTTTTCTTTGTCACTGAATTTGTAAGTCTAACAAATGGGCTAATTTCTGATTAAATTTCTTTTGTTTTTAGGCTCAAGGAGAATGTTCACGTTTTCCTGACCTTGTCTCCAGGTGCATTCACTGGGCTGAGGGATTTATCTTGGTGTATTCAATAACAGACTACAATAGTTACAAACTGATTCGACCCCTGTACCAGCATATACGTAAAATATATCCTGATACAAAAGTCCCTGTGATCATTGTTGCTAATAAGAGTGACCTATTGCATGCCAGACAAGTTCAGACCAATGATGGAATCCAATTAGCAAATGAGCTTGGTACAACATTCTTAGAAATCTCTACCAGAGAAAACTATGAGGATGTGTATGAAGTTTTTCAACATGCCTACAAAGCGGTGAGCAAACTGCATATGAACAATAATGGAGAAAAACGAAGAGGATCAATTATTCCACGACCCAAGTCACCTAACATGCAAGATTTAAAACGACGCTTCAAACAAGCCCTTTCTTCCAAAGTGAAATCTGGCACCACTTTATGACGTGGATATTAAAATGATCAAGCCCAGTGGATAACAAGCAGAATTGCACAGTATTTGTTTGACTTCTGTAAATGGTGCCTTTTACCTCCAGCAAGATTATAAAAGTAGCTTTAAATGATGACAGTGCAATGTTGATTCTTGCAGTGATTGACTAGGAGCAGGATTTACTTGAGGGCAAATGAATATCTCTTTACTTGCTAATGCTCATATAATTTATGCTGCTACAGTGTAGCAATGCATTGTTTGTGAATGCCTGTGTTGAACCTTGAAAAGATAGCTGAATAGCATTTCTAATGTTGCCAATAATGGCTGTTCAGAATGTGTAATGGAGTGTATTCATTGTATAGTACAGCTGTATTGAGTCTTGCAATACATTGTGAAGTGAGTGAAAATATGGGATGGACCTGGGACAACAGAACAGTCCCAAAAAGATTTAAAAACTGCTACAGATTTTGGGTGATTGGAGTGTACGTGAGGCAAATTATATAAGAGACAGATGTGCAGATCAGGTGAAAGAGGTCTTAATAGTCTCCGTTACCATTATGAAGTTGCAACTAGCCACTGGAATTTTCTGATTTGTGGATTCCAGTTTAAGAAAATGTAATTATTTGTCAATTCTAGTTTATAGATTTTGATGAAAATTATACAAAACATTACTGTCAATCGTTTTTGTGTAATGAGTTTGTAATTATCCTGTATTTTATTGATTGAACCACAATGCTATATTTGCTGGAGATAATTCTTTTTACTGTATTTTATACAAACAATGATTAGTTATTCTTGTGACCAAATGAAAAATGTGCTCATTTCTAAATTACTATAAAGACATTTGTACAATGTTTCCAGATTTATACTAATGCAGGAACATATTGGAAATTCAATCATCCACAAGGACACTTTTTTTGACAGAAGTTAAAGTATTGATTTTAAAGTATTGATTTATGAAAAACAAATTAGAACAGGTTATTTAATGAATTGCAGTGCAAGTTCAGTATTTTATGTTTTGATAATTGCTGAAAAATACTGGTTAGACATCAGGGGCTGTGGTCATCCCTTGATACGCTTGACATTAGTCCATCAGCATTTTAAGAAATATCTGTAGGCTGGAGAGACTGGGCTGAAGGAATTAACTGCAGGAATGTTATCTTGTGGGGTTACTCAAGTTAAATGCATTTGCTTCACAGGTTAACTAATAAACTAATGACACAGTAAAAGGTGATGATAAGTGCCATGAAAAATGTTAAAAATTGAAATGAGTAAATGTAAAAATATTACTTAATGTAATTGGCACTGTTAAAATAGTGCAAGAAAATAAGAGCAGGAATAGACCATAGAGCCCTATGAGCCTACTCTGCCATGCAACAGCTTCTGCCTTAAGTCTATTTACCTTCCTACAGCCAATGTCCCTTGATTCTCTGAGAGATCAACAATTTGTCCATCTCTGCCTTAAAGATATTCAGTAATGGTGCATTTGTTTGGAGTAGAGAATTCCAAAGATCCTTTGAATGAAGAAATCCCCTCATTCCTCTTCATTGATCTCACTTGTTACATCCCAAAAAAGCTAAGAAGTTTGTTGAATACAATTTTCCTTCTGTAAAAGCATGCCTTGTCTGATTGCAGTATGATTTTGCTAAGTGCTTGGATAAGACTTGCTTAATAAGAGATTGTAGCATTTTCCTGTTGATTTGAGGCCTGGTTTCTCTCTCCCTCCTTTCTTGAGTTGTGGAGTTAAGTTGCTAACTGTCAATCTGCTGGGACTGTTCTAGAATCTAGAGATTTTCAGAAACCAAAACATGCACTAACTCTGCAGCTACCTCTTTTAGAATGCCTACCCAATAATGTAGGCATCATATTCTCAGATATTAGTCGGATTTTAGTTCCTAAGGAACAAAACAATACAGCACAAGAATGGGCTGTTTGGCCCACCAAGCCTGCACTGATTCCTGTTTCTTATTTAGACATGCTAGTTACTGCCCATGTGCAGTTTTTATCCCTCTGATCACCTCCCGTTCAATTGCTAAACATGCCTGCTTTCACCGCCTCCATTGGCAGAACATTTTAGGCACCTACCACCCTCTGTGTGAAAAATCTTCCCCACACTTCTCCCCTAAACTCTCCCCCTCTCACCTTAAACCTGTACCCTCTTGTAGTTGACCTTTCCACCCTGGAAAAAGGTCTCTGACTATCCATCCTATCTATGCCTCTCATAATTTTGTAGACCTCTATCAGGTCTATCACCCCTCAGCCTCTGTCTTTCCAGTGAAAACAAACTGAGTTAAAATTTGTCCAAAACATTTTTCTCCTGATATTACTCACCTTACATTCATCACTTTTCAGCCCCTTTGTTCTATTTATCATGTGTAATTTCTGTCATCTAATGTGAAGACACTTACTGTATGAAGCCTGACAAATATTCAAGTGATAAGTATCTTGTAAAACATTGGTAAGTTTTTGGCAAATCATTGGACCATTTCACTCCTCATAAGTTAAGCCCCATCATCAGCTAAAATGTTAATCACAGTAAAATTTATAGAAGTAAAGGTTTATCTCAAACAGGCATGAAGGAAAAATCAATTAAATTATTACAACTAAAATGTTCTCGATACAAACTTTCACAGTAATTATGTGCAAATAATTTTTCTCAATTCCTGCTATAATTATGTCACAAAAACAATTGGTATTCTTTGTGAAGGTCTAACTGCAAACATTCAGCAATCAAGTAACACAAGTGCATATCATAGACCAGAGTATCTGCTGCAGAGTCTCATTTGAAGCTCCCCACTTCTTCCAGTTAAATCATGTTACCAAGAAAATAAACCTAAAAAAAATTACATCAAGAAAAGTAAGAGCTGTGTTTTTATTATTGGGCTAATCATGCTGCACATAGAAGTTTCAAATGAGTATTTAAATAAAAACAAAAAATATGCACTAAATAATTTTTCTTGAGTGGTATAGGTACACCATGGCAATAAATAATGCCTTTGTTTTAAGGAAGAGGTTGTATAGTTACAACCATTGTTCTTCTTAATATGACTGCAGTGACAATTTATTCAAATGTGCTTTGAAAGTATTTAATCACAAGAATCAATAGCCTAAGTGTCTTAATTTTATGCATGAGACATAGTAGGAACTGCAGATGCTGGAGAATCTGAGAGAACAAGGTGTAGAGCTGGATGAACACAGCAGGCCAAGCAGCAGAGGAGCAGGAAGGCTGACATTTCGGGCCTAGACCCTTCATCAGAAATGGGGGAGGGGAAGGGGGTTCTGAAATAAATAGGGAGAGGGGGGAGGCAGATAGAAGATGGATAGAGGAGAAGATAGGTGGAGAGGAAACAGACAGGTCAAAGAGGCAGGGATGGAGCCAGTAAAGGTGAGTGTAGGTGGGGAGGTAGGGAGGAGATAGGTCAGTCCAGGGAGGATGGACAGGGCAAGGGGGCGGGATGAGGTTAGTAGGTAGGAAATGGGGGTGCAGCTTGAGGTGGGAGGAAGAACAGGTTAGGGAGGCGGGGACGAGCTGGGCTGGTTTTGGGATGCGGTAGGGGGAGGGGAGATTTTGAAGCTTGTGAAATCCACATTGATACCATTGGGCTGCAGGGTTCCCAAGTGGAATATAAGTTGGTGTTCCTGCAACCTTCGGGTGGCATCGTTGTGGCACTGCCGGAGGCCCAGGATGGACATGTCGCCTGAGGAATGGGAGGGGGAGTTGAAATGGTTCGCGACTGGGAGGTGCAGTTGTTTATTGCGAACCGAGCGTAGGTGTTCTGCAAAGCAGTCCCCAAGCCTCCGCTTGGTTTCCCTGATGTAGAGGAGGCCACAACGGGTACAGCGGATGCAGTATACCACATTGGCAGATGTGCAGGTGAACATCTGCTTGATGTGGAAAGTCTTCTTGGGGCCTGGGATGGGGGTGAGGGAGGAGGTGTGGGGGCAGGTATAGCAGTTCCTGCGGTTGCAGGGAAAAGTGCCGGGTGTGGTGGGGCTGGAGGGGAGTGTGGAGCGGACAAGGGAGTCACAGAGAGAGTGGTCCCTCCAGAAAGCAGATAAGGGTGGGGAGGGAAAAATGTCTTTGGTGGTGGGGTCGGATTGCAGATGGCAGAAGTGTCGGAGGATGATGCGTTGGATCCGGAGGTTGGTGGGGTGGTACGTGAGGACGAGGGGGATTCTTTTTTGGTTGTCATTGCAGGGACGGGGTGTGAGGGATGAGTTGTTAAGTTAAAGATTGAAGACAACTTTGTACAATTTTAGTGTTAACTTTAACTTTTTTGTAAGACCTAAATTAATTACAATTACAGACTGTGTTGAGAGAACCGATCTAAAAGCTTTCTAGTCTTAATTAGTTCCAAGATCTATTCCAGGATCAAGTATGTTTCATTACATTTTGACAGAAGAAGTTAAAGTGTTGATTTTAATCGTTATGATAACAAAATTAGAGCAGGCTATTTAATGAATTGCAGAATTTATTACATTTTTCATTATAAGATAAAAGAAATTATATCCGATAAAAGTAGTAAATTTTCAGTCGATAAAATTCAGGACATCAGATTTTGTTTCTGGCTCACTGGACACATATCTCTTGTTTTCTTTTAGTTGATTAAATTTATCATTTTGTCCTCCGTCTTCCCTTCTGTGCACTAAAGCATTAAAAATTATTGCTTATTAATCTTGCTTGCCACTACGCTCTGTGGATGATTGGAGACATTCTGAATTTTGATTAGCTTGTCAATGCATGGACAGAATGCGATCAATCTTAGATTAGCTAAATAGTGCTTGTCCAATTCCGAATTTTTCTTTAAAGTAATGATCATACAAATTACTTCACTTCTTACTATCCCATAACTCATTTTTTAACATGTGTAGGTTAGGTGCATTAGCCATGGGAAGTGCAGGGTTACAGGGATAGAGTAGGGGGTGGGTCTGGGTGGGATGCTGTTCAGCAGGTTGGTGTGGACTTGTTGGGCCGAATAGCCTGTTTCCATACTGGGGATTCTGTATATGCAACAGTTTGTATGTATCAACTCCTTTTAGCAATAGCTTGTCTGTATCAACCTGCAAACCTTTTACATCTTTACTGATAATGTGGCAACAATTTAGCCATTTGTGTGTATGCCTCGGAGAATGTAATGTCAGTTCCCAGTGAAATAATATCATGCCAAATGTCCTACCTAATACATCCATGTGATCTCAAAAACCTGTCAATATCCTTTAACTACAAGAACCATATGTGATTCCACAATAATTGCTGATGTCAAAGACAAATGAAAAATCAATATTTCTATACAGATTTAGTATACTTTGGCTCATTTTGTTATGTACTAGACTATTAAAACATAGTTGTATCTTTAAGTGAAAGTCTTGTATCTCAAAGCATTTTCAGATTTGGTAACCGAAGTTTATATTAGCTTGGGCCATGAAACAATCCTTACCTTTCACCTGAACCATCTAGTTATTTTTCCTTACAGGAAATGTTTATAACTAATCACAATCAAACAAAACTATAAAGTAATTCCTCACCTGTTTAATCAAGTCAAATTTATTTTTGTAAAAACTCATTCCTACAAATTTACTGACAAAATTATAGTTTAAAAAATTCATTTATCTGTTTTAAAACATTTTTTTTGTAAATTCCTTACTTTATGTTCAAAGTAGAAACTGCTGTTTTTCCATTGAATTAAGATAGTTCACTCATTGTTCCTAACATGCTTGTGAAAATTTCGTGCTTTTACTGGAGGTATGAAGAATAAATCAAGAAACACAAGAATATGATAATATATAATTTCTGTTAAACTTTGAACTTTTAAAAAATATTGATACATAAATTCAATCCATGAATTTTATTTATTACAAATACAAACTATGTACTCCACCAGAGACACTTATTCATTTGGCATGTATGTGATTTACAAATCCTGAACTTTTATGGCTTACAACAGCTTATAGGTGATTTTTCATAAGGGTTTTCAGGTAAAGAAAAGGTTGTTGTTGCTTATCATTGACTTAGGAGGCCATATACTACCCAATATGTAATTTTAACATGTTATATTAATGGGATGATCTTTAGGATAAGCATAAGCTCAATGCATTAGGAAATTTTCAGTCTGCGATTTCCAGTGTATTAAAGTTACTCTTTGAGATGTCAGGGAATATGTGTGCATTTTTTCTGAACGGAATTCCAATGTCCTCCAGGATAACCAAGGCAAAGTATTCTGTCTGATTTCAAGGTGGCAAACTAATCTTTCAGTCTATAGGACTAAATGAAACCCATGTTCAGATTAAATCTATTTCACATCCACTTTTTGAGATAATCCTCCTGTTTATTGTTAGATGGCCAGTTGACCAAATCATTTTTCTTTATTCATTCATTGGCTGTGGGTGTCATTAGTTAGGCCACCATTTATTGTCTATCCCTAATTGCTCTTTAGAAAGTGGTGGTGAACTGACTTCCTGAACTGCTGCAGTGCAGGTTGTGTTGATATGCCACACTGCCGTTAGAGAAGAATTTCTAGGACTTTGACCCAGCAATAGTAAAAGAATAGCAACAAAGTTGCAACAGAAGATGCTATGTGTCTTGGAGGGGAACTTTCAGGTGATGATGTCCCTATGCATCTGCTGCTTTTGTCCTTCTAGATGGTAGAAGCAATGGGTTTGGGAGGTGATGCCTAAGGAGCCATGGGGCTGCATTTTGCCAAAGATTTGCTCCATGTGAATTTTGGGCAGTTTCATGATGGATTTCTCTTCATGAGCGCCAGCAAGTTATTTCACAGAATTCACCACAGCTTACCATTATGTATACATCACATCTCAATAGTGCTAACAGATGTCTCACCACTATTGAGATCTTCTGGGATTTCTATCACCAGCGCCATATTTAATGCCAACAGTGCAAATTAGGGGCATCCATTCAGGACAGAGATGAGAATAAGCTCTTCCTCACAGCAGATTGTGTGTCTTCAGAACTCTGCCTCAGAAGGTGTTGGGGGGGTTGAGTCATTGAATATTTTTAAGACAGAAGTGGATAGATTCTCATTAGGCAGAGGAATTCAGTGGATTGATGGGAACATATGGAATTTGAAACACAAACAGATTAGCCATGATCTTATTGATGGTGGAGGGGGCTTGAGGGGCCCAATAGTCACATTCTGCTCCCATTTTGT